AAACTAGTGTTTGCAACCACTACTTCATAAATTAAACCATAAAATTGACCTAAATAACAAACACCCATGGTCAATCTAACCATAAATCACAACACCCATCAATTACCCACACTAGGGTTGAGCCACAACCCTAGCTGATGGGTCTAGCTACTCATGGTTGAAGAGAAAATCAGAGAAATAGATGAAAGGAAAGACATAATATTAAATTACTGAAGTAAATATAATGATTCAATTGCTAAAACTACGTTGAAGTGCCCAAAATGGCTACAAAATGGCTTCTCACGAGCGCAGCTACTGTTCTGTAATATCTGATGTCCTAAAAATGGAAAAATGTTCTATTTATACTAAGCTGAAAAAACTAGACAAAAATGCCCCTGCTGGGTCAGTGCGGACCGCACAAAATGGTGTGTGGCCACACTAGGCTCTTGACACTGAAAAATCAACTCACTGAACCCAGGCTCCGCGGACCGCACAAAATGGACTGCGGCCACGGAGGCATCTAACGCGATCCGCAAAAATACGACCGCGGACCGCACAGGCTTGAACCTTGGCACTTGACATCTCTCTGAAGTTTGCTTCCGCGGACCACATAAAATGGTGATGCGGCCGCGGTGTCTTCAATGCGGTCCGCACAATATCTACTGCGGCCGCACTGCTTTGATGCCTTAAAATCCAATCTCTGAATCTCCCTAGTGCGGACCGCACAAAGTGTAGTGCGGCCGCACTAGGCTTGTTTATCCTGAGTTGTATTGTCTTTGATACTTGTGCAGGTTTCACTCCTTTTGAGCCGATTTTTGACATCTCGTCACTTTGTTGCTCAAACCTGCAATCAAGCACAACATATGAGCCTTTTGGGACTATTTTGTAAGAATTTATAATCAAAGCGTAAGCAAGAAGGAGCATGAAACACGTCAAAATCCCTAGTTTTTCAGGAGAGAGTGCATATTTAGGTAATTGTTGAACAACATCACTCCCAAAGTATATGAGGGATCAATAACTGAGGGTTTAAAGGCGGGATTAGGGATAACGAAGCCTTGGGTGCAATCTAAAGTGAGTTGTAATAAAAGCCAGCTAGCGTAACTCGGGAGAGTGCGTCTAGTAAATTGTCGTGATTACTCGGGAGAGATTTACGGTAATAAGAGTGCTCATGATCGATAGAGACGGTTAGGCAAATCTATATGAAATATAACAGGAAGGGATTCCATCAATAGGGAAAATCATAACCTTAGATCCTTCTGTTATTTGTTTAAAACTCAATCATAGTTAGCTGTTAGTTTACTTGCTTATATTCAGTTATAGTTAGTTAAACCATCACCAATTGTTATTTAAATATCTGGGAAGTTGATTACAAAGAATTTAGTGAGTCTAACAAAAGTAATTGGTAGGTTAATTCTCTGAGAATTCGACTCTGGGCTACATACTCAGATTATATTTGCAGCGACCGCTTGTCCTTTTTATAAGGCATAATTGGGCGTGATCATACCTACTTGTTAAAAAAAATTTAATTAGTAACCAAAGTATAAATGACTTCAGGCATTTTCTTCCTCTTCTTCTTTTTTGCTATAAAAACAAAGGTAACGATAAATTTTTATGGTGTTTGTAAGCAGATTTTAAGGTGGTTTATGGTAATTTATAGTGGTGAGTTGTTGTGACGCTCCTTTCTTTGCTACTGCTTAAGTCGTCTTCTTCTTCTTAATTGCAAAATATGTTTCTTAGATTTGTTATATATTATTTTAATAAATTGATGATCGGGTTTATTCTTTATGATATGAGAATGTTATGTTTCAAATTTGAGCTCATTTGGAGTAGATTTAGATGTTGAATCATGTGTTGGATAGTTGAAATTCGAAGAATAAGTTTATGTTTCTGAGCAATTTGCAATTTAGACCTACTTTTGCCTTAAGTGCATGAAAACATAGGTTGCACTTCAGGCCTATTTGGCATTAAGTTCATGGAAATATTTGTTGCACTTCAGTGCATCTTAAGTGCAATTTTTTCACTGACCTATTTTGGCCCTAAATTCATGAAAATATTTGTTGAACTTCAGACTTATTTGGCCTTAAGTGCATCTTATTATAATATTGCACTTTAGACTTATTGGCCTTAAGTGCATAGCACTGCAGACTAAAAATTCTTTTTCCTTCAACTTCAGACCCGATAAGTCAAAGTAGATCCTAAAGTGGGTAGACTTGTAAACTTTTGTGCAAAGTGTGTATAAGTTTAATGGGGATCCCAAAATTGGATAGAGATGCAAATGTCCCAATTCTAACGCCATTAATGTTTTAATGAAGTATGGTGAACCGATTGATATGTTAGCATGAGAATATAAATACAAGAACTGGAGAAAAATAAAGAGAAATTTTCATAAATCACTATCTTTTAGTAGTAATTAGCCATCTATAGATACCATTTGCTATATTACGGATTATAGATACCTTTTCTGTGGTTATAAGATGTATTTGATGTATTTAAGCTATTGTATTCATGAATATAGTAGCAAAAATAGGCGTGAATCAGGGAAGTCCAGCTAATCAGTTGTTGTATTCGAGTGTATTCGAGTGTATTCATGGAGTGAAACATGGGATTACAGCTGGACAGATTATTGTATTCGACTGTATTCACGCGCGTGAAATAGAGGATTACACTGTTTTTAAAACGAAAAGTGAATCAATTAACATAATAGACTCCTAATATAACTCAACAAACTCAATTATAACACACAAATTTTGTATTTTCAGTTATAAAAAAGATTCTCATCCGAAAAATACCCCAAAAATATAGCAATCTTCAGAGAAATTATATAATACATCTGAATACATAAATTATATTAATTAAAAAAAACATATGAATACATTCATGGCATATAGCGAGACAGTGAATACAATGAAAACACATAGAATACAATGGGATACATTGAAATACAATGAAAAAAAGACAGTGAATACAATGAAATACATGGAATATAACGAGATACATTGAATTGCAATGAAAGACAATGAATACAATGAAATACATGAAAATACATTGAAATATATTAACAGAAAATCAAGTTGCTCAGCCCCAAACTCCGTCGTCTTTGTTCAAGAACAAACCCTAATTTCCGGCGAATCCGCCGTTCACCGGAAGCCGGTAGTGAAAACGTGCCGCCTTCGTGGAAATTTCACTCTGAGTTGTGTGGCAAGATGACTTCTTCAAATTCTAGTGAGATCATGCTTAACGAACTGCTACTATATTTAATTGCACAAGCAAACATTAGGGAGAAATCCCTTTGTTCTTCTGCCCGAGCATCATGGGATATACACTCGATTGCAGTTGCCCACTGCTTGGAGACTGTTCCTGTCGGAGAGACTAGTGTATTTGTTGCAATATCGTCTTTAGAAGGAGGAGGAGAGCGAAAATTTTAATGGGACGGGGGAAGAGAATGAGATGTATCAAAGTAAAGAGAGAAAGAAAATAGTGTAACTGAATAACGTATTTAGTGGCTTAGAGCTATGAGGTAACCAAAATTAAATATTTTGCTATAAACCTTAAAAGGTATCTATAGAATATAATTTTTTTAAATGGTATTTATTTAAAATAAATAAAATGTTAACCTTTGCTATAAGAGGTAAAAATTCCAAAAAAAAAACATATAGTGCCAGTTCAAATATGCAATAGCTGATAATTCAATCAGGGTCCAACTAAATATGACCGTTACCCGAGTAAGAGACAGAGAGAATCAGGTTGAGAAACCTGAAATAAACTCTGCCCGAGATCACTAATTAATCAGCCAAACGGAGAAGCAAGAATGGTAGGTGGAAGGACATTAATATACAAGTGCATATGTGGTATTTTATTAATGCAACTGACAGGGAAAGGACTTCCTGCTCTATTTGTTAAACATTAAAAATATAAGAGGCAAGGAAAAGAAAACATTTAAACAGCTAAAATTGAAAAAACAATATCTCACCAAGAAATCTAACAGGCTGGCACGTTCCAGATTGTGGCTACTAGCCTTAAACATTTTGGTGAATATTGAAAAAAGAATTGAAAAAAAAGGAATAAAAGTTAAAGGAAAGAAACGAAAAAGACCACAGTTAACAACTGAAAATAACATTTTTTTTCTTTCTTTTGATCCTACCAAAAAGCAATATTGATATTGCGGTGTTAGGCTCATAGAGGGACACTGATCACTTCTATAATTATCGCATATTTGTGTATATCGGTTAGTTAGTAAGTAAAAACGAAATGAAACAATCTTGTTGCACAATCACATCATGTTGAATTTTCTAATTATATTGTAATTAATCAGTGCTTTTCTTTAAAGAAAAAAAGAAGGCAAGTCTTATTGCCTTTTAGTATTTGATAGCTGATCATGTTGCAAATTCGAATATGATTATATCTATTCTTCTTGGCATTACCATAGGTCTTTTCTACTTTCTCAATAATATTCCAAAACATTGTCCTTTACTGAAAAAAGCATTTTTGACCCTTTTGATGGCAAAATAAGTGGTAGGTCATTTATGGACAATAGCTTAGCTAGGATTCTTTACTCGCTTTTCTAATGGTGATTCGATTCGTGAAGTTCTGATGTATGTTAGAGCAGGCCCTGCTTGACCAATGTTTGAACGAAAAATCTTCAAATCTGTACTTCCTTTTTATTGCTTCTTTGTTCTCTAAATCTTTTGAACCCATGATTAATTAGATCCGAAAGGTAGAAAAGAGAACCTTTAAAAAAAATTGGACCATATATTTAAGTAATGCAGAAAGGAATACCAACCATTAGAACAATCCTAACTCTGAAATCCATTCTTTATTTTGTGAGGCCATTTAGTAACGAAGATAATTTGGGATAATATTAAGTCCATTATTATAATCCCTATGCTGACAAAAAAAATCCCTACATAACTTTTTATGCGAACCAAACAACTGACTTACCAGACATGATTGCAAAAAATAGTTCACCGGTTCCAGTGAATGCTCAGATGCGAATAAATTGGCGAAGTATTAGAAGGGAAAGCTTACCAAGAGAAATAGAAAATATCAGACTTCAAAGTTCAAACTACGGAGAACTTCTGTAATGACTGAGCCGGGAAATATATGGCAGTTTTCCTGTGGAACAAGACCCAGAATATGATAACATGTCATGAAATTTTTCAGATTGTACTCGTTTCAAATGAGGCTCCTTATAAAGAAAAAATCATAACTAGGTCTTACAAAAGTGAAAAAGAAGACCTTTGCAAACAGACGACACAAAATTTTTGTTTATACAACTGATTCCTCTTAGCCAGTCATCACTCATCTTTGCACTACTTCTTTGCACCACTGGAGGACTCAGGCTGTGGTTTTATTATATTTAATTGACCACCATCCTTAGTAGCAAATGTAGCTGCTTTTACTTCATTGCAGTGATTTATAAACTTTGTCAACTCCTGCTCACAGAAAAGAACAATGCAAAATAATGAGACAAATGCAATCAATAACAAGCGCAATAGCTATATCAATTCTTGCTTTTGAGATAAATCTAGCAATTCCACTTAAGAGTTGCCACAAAGTTATTTTGAAACTCGACATCGCAAAAAATACCACGACGCAACAGTAAAACTTAATACTACTTATATAACTAATTTATCTTATGTAGATGAGCATGGAGTGTCTTAAATTTTACTTATATGTTAGTAAAGGACAAAATTATTCAATAAGTACTTGGATAAGTTTATTGGAGGAAACTTCACATGATTGTCCAAGTAGAATTGTTTACCTGAATATAACCTTTATGGAGATGTGAGCTACAGTAAAATACTGTTATTTGTGGATTCATGTAAAAGACTCGAAATCCCAAAACGGAAAGCATATCATATTAATTGGAACAGGCTAATAGAGGGAGTTGAACTAGTACTAAAACTTAAAAAGACCAGTGAAGCTGGAATATTGAATACCCTTTATGAGGTCAATCAATCCAACATGCTAAAAGGTTAATGCAAACACAATATGACAAAGCAATCTAATTAACAATATCATTATAATTTAGTTAATGGCTGCTTCTAAGTGACAGTGAATAGATAGCTCTGCAAAAAAGCACAGAGACACAGACTTAATCATTTTGCTAAGAACCAGCAATTGAATTGTTAAAGCAGTCAATACCCAGGTTCCCTTTACCAACAGAGTCAGCTTGTCACGTACAGAGATACCACTATACATTACCATTTAAACCTGTATATTAGTTGAGCAAATGATTTGATACTAAAATTTTGAAGTTGAAGTTACAGCTGAATAACTTTTTCTTCAACCACAGAAATCATGCCAGCAGTCAATAGTTTGAAGAAATTAATAAGTTTAAAGACTTTAACCTGAGCAATGGTATCTAAACAAAACATACAAAACATAGCTGGATGTACCCAACACCAAGCGAAAAGAGAAAAACAAAGAAAGTGCAACTACATATTGTGCCCCCTACCATTTCGGTTCTTTCTGCTCCACACCATCCTTGTGTCCAGAATATATGAAATCAGCATAATATCATTCTTCGTAACCCTAAACTTAACCACTTGTGGCATCTACATTCATGTACTTGAAGGTTGCATAAATAAAAACAACCTAATGTTTGAGCAGAATTGATGCTTTTGCAAATCTATCACAGATAAGCTAAGCCTGACCAGTCTGACGTCTTTCAGCTCTTTTAAGCAGAAAACAAACCAGATGTGTTACCCTACTATAGCACCCTAATCACTTTTTGTTTATTCATTTATCAGGAGCACGCTAATAACTTATTTAACACCCTCCTCAAACACTCTTTAGTTTTGTTTGCACCGGTCCCATGTTTCCTCTGGGAATACAGAATTAAGACAGCAGACTAAGTGAACTATGAAACTGTAATATACTTAATTGAGAAATGAAATTCGAAAGGAACTAAGCTTTATTGATCAACAATTCAACGATTACAATCTGTATTTCAACTGACATGAATGAACTCAGAAGAATTGGAATTGGAGTTTTAGAGGGAAGAAGAAGAAGAAGATAGGAGAAGAGATAGAGAGAGAAAGTAGTTAGGATTCTGTTATTGCCAAAGATGCCAACTACTCTACTAAGGTGTTATTTAACTAACTGACCCAGCTACTAATTGGACTAATTGAATAAAGACCCCAAGGCCCAATACTCTTCTTCTGAAAGCCCAATACGTGAGGCCCAGTAAGACAACCCAATCCTCCCACTTTAGCTATACCCTATTTCCTTGTTTGTATCGTCTGCCACTTTCCTTTTCTTGTCTGAACATTACAATACCTCCCCCTCGAAAGAGACCTTGACCTCAAGGTCGTTGTTGAGCGATAAACGCCGGAAAATGGCTTTTGATGTAGCCCCAATCCTCCCAAGTCGCATCTTCTTTGCGCAAATTTGCCCACTGAACCAAAATTTTGACTGCAACGGCATTGTTCTCCTTAACCACACGCCTCTGTAAAATGGCAACTGGCTGAATCAAAACATGACCTTCACTGTCACAATCTGGTGGATGCTGCTGAGGGCATATTGATGGTCCAATACGCCGTTTGAGCTGGGACACATGAAAGACTGGGTGGAGGCGTGACTCTGGTGGTAGATCTAAACGGTAAGCCACTTCACCAATCTTCTGCAAAACCTTGTAAGGACCAAAGAATCGAGCACAAAGCTTGACATTTCTTCTCACTTCGATAGATGACTGTCGATAGGGCTGTAGTTTGAGGTACACTTGGTCCCCTACCTCCAAGACTCGTTCAGAACGGAGTCGATTTGCATAAAAGTTTCATCCGTGCCTGTGCTTGCACAAGGTTGTCACGTAGTGCTTGTAGCATATGCTGTCGTTGGGTTCGATTTAACCCAGCCAGGCCTTGATGTGTATGTGGTAATGCTCCCAATGGTAGTTGAGTTGGGGGGTGACCATAAAGGGCTTCAAAGGGAGTGACTTTAAGAGAATTATGAAAATTAGTGTTATACCACCACTCTGCCAGTGGTAACCATCTAGCCCAGTGTTTAGGATTCTCAAATACCATAGCTCGTAAGTAGGTCTCTAAACATCGATTGAGTCTTTCTGTCTGCCCATCCGACTGCGGGTGATAGGCTGTAGGGGTGGGCGTCGGTCGGTTCGGTCGGTTATTATTAAAATACGGTTCGGTTTATCGGTTTTCGGTTTTGTAATATTAATAACCAAATCAAACCAAAGTATTTACGGTTCGGTGTGGTTTTTTCAAAGTTCGGTTCGGTTATTTCCGGTTTATTTATTCGGTTTTAAACGGTTCAAGAAAATTTTAAAATTCGTATCTAATAAAGGAGGAGGGAATAACAACGTGGAAAAGTTTGATGTAAATCCTACAGTAATCTGCTTCTGATCAACAACATAATCTACACCAACTAAGGAGATAAATACGCTGAAGGTGGTTGGTTCACAAGATCTCCATGACCTTTCTGCACAACTACATTCACATGGAACTATAGGTGTTAAACGGGCCGGGTCAGCCCGGTTCCGGACCGGCCCAGACCGTTAAAACCGAACCGGCCCGGCCCGGCCCGGTTAAAGGGGGCTGGGCTGGGCTGGGTTAGGGGGGCCGCGCGGGTTGCTCCGTTTACTTTTTAAATACCGGTTACCCGGACCGGTACAACCCGTTAGATGAACAGTGCCGTTAAACCGGTTAACCAGACCGGCCCAACCAGTTAAATGGATAAATTTTTTTTTTTAATTTTTTTTTGGGAGCTTTACATACCTGTCTAATTTTTAAAAACATAATAGTGGTATATTCTAGTATAAATATTTTATATCTTACACATACCATGAATATACCAATTATTGTATACTAATTAACATAATTTAAAAATGTTTGAATTTAACATATATATCATACACATAATTTGCAAGTATGATACATGTAATAATAGTGGAATACTTTTGTCACTTTTTTGTATGTTTTACAGTGGAAATTGCTTTGAGTATATATTTTATAAGTCTTGATTATACCCTGCGTATATATTTTATACGTATTTAAAATGAAAGAAATATAATTTAAATCATATAGGAGTATTATATAAGGTAAAATACCGGATCCTAGGTTATAAAAAATATAGTGTATATATTTAGGGTATAAATGCTCAAATCATAAATATACATCAAATAAACAACTTGATACAATGTAAAAATACATAAGATAGGCATTAAATATATTTTAGTACACAATAAAAATACATAAGATATTAATTTACTTTTTAAATGCAAACTTTAATTTTGTAATTTTGAAAAAAATATAGCACTTGCAATTTATAAGTGCAATTTTTTCCCATCTTCCTTGTATTCTTTTATTAATATAACTTACAATAGTTATAAAAAAATATTCAAAATACACTAAACCCGGCCCGGCCCGGCCCCCTCAACCCGTAACCCTTACGGTTCAATTTTTACCCGGATGAACCCGAACCCGTTAAACCCGTTAAGCCCCAACCCGTAACCGGCCCGGACCATAACCCGTACGGGTCAAAAAAAACCAAACCCAGCCCGGCCCAGCACACCCGTTTAACACCCTTACATGGAACTAACCAGATAAAATTATGGATTACTTTATTAGTCAGTAGTGTAGTTTCTACAAAACTATTAGAGTAATTTTAGTAAAAACTTGTTGTCTGCCCTATTCTCGGACAGGAGCACCTTCATCTCCAATACAGATTTAGAGGGAAAAGTTTCACTTGCTTCCGTCGAGCTAGCATTATTTCATAAACAACTACAGAAACGAACTCTGGACGACAATTATTGTAAAGGCAAGAGCTAATTAGTAGTAGCTCTAGCTCAAACGTTTAATTAGTGGATAAGCAAACAGCCTTACACTACATATGGTTGTGCAGAAAAGTTTGATGTAAATTCACTTCAGATTGAGAACTTCACGTCCAACGACCAACAGGGGGTAAATGGAAAACAATTCCACTTGGGAAGTAACTTACGTGACTGTGGGGGTAAATTGGGTGGGGTGGACTTGGACTATTGGCATTTGGGCTTAAGCCTAAGATCATAAGATGGGTTATAACTTATAAGTTTTGAACGTGAATTTCGATTTTTCGGTTTAACCGAAAACCGAAATACAAAAACCGCAAACCGCACCGAAAAATCGAAAATTAATAATTTTAAAACCGTGCACCGACCGAAAAACCGATTAAACCGAAACCGAAGAACCAAAATTCACGGTTCGGCCGATTTTTTCGGTTCGGCCGGTATTATGCCCACCCCTAATAGGCTGAGCTCATATTAAGCTTAGTTCCCATTATTTTGAATAAGTGCTGCCAAAAATGACTAGTGAAAACAGATCCTCTGTCTGAAACAATAGACCTGGGAAGTCCATGTAACCTATACACCTCCTTCATGAATAGTTCTGCCACCTCTTGTGCTGAAAATGGATGTTTTAGGGCTAAGAAATGTCCATACTTGGACAGCCTATCCACCACAACTAGCACAACATTCTTTCCTGTAGAGATAGGTAAGCCTTCTACAAAATCCATAGATATATCCTGCCACACCTGTTCTGGAATAGGAAGGGGTTGTAATAACCCTGGGGTGTGCACATTTTCAGACTTGATCCTCTGACAAGTATCACATTCACTCACCCATTTAAAGATCTCTGATTTCATGTTAGGCCAATAGAAAATCAGCTGCACTCTCCTATAAGTACCTTGCTGCCCAGAATGACCACCAAAAGGTGATTGATGCATTGCTTCTAGAATCTTACTCCTTAGATTGGTTCCTCTTCCCACATAGATTTTGTGTTTATACCTGATGACTCCTTGTTGTAATGAATAATCTGAATCACTGCCTGAAGAGACAGCTAGTTCACCCAACAATGATAAAGCAATAGGATCCTCTTCATAGCTGAGACTAATCTCTTGTAACCAAGTAGGTTTAACAGTAGAGATTGCCAGTAAGGTGGACTCCTGATCTTATCTTCTTGACAAGGCATCAGCTACCCTGTTTTCAGTGCCTTTCTTATACTGTACCTCATAGTCAAGGCCTAGAAGCTTAGTCAATCCCTTTTGTTGTAAAGTTGTGGTAATCTTTTGTTCTAGCAAGTACTTTAAGGCTTTGATGATCTGTCCTTACAATAAAATGGCCCCCTTGTAAATAGTGTCTCCATTTCTCCACTGCAGTTAAAACTGCCATATATTCTTTCTCATAAGTTGATAGTCCCCTGTTCTGTACTGAAAAAGCCTTGCTTAAGTAAGTTATGGGTCGACCTTCTTGCATTAAAACAGCCCCCATCCCGGTAGAGCAAGCATCAGTTTCTACAATAAACGGCTTAGTAAAGTCAGCCAAGGTTAAAACAGGAGCTGAAGACATGGCTGTTTTTAGCTGATTGAAGGTTGTTTCAGCTTCCTCCGACCACTGAAACGAGCTCTTCTTCAGTAAATTGGTGAGGGGTCTGCTGATAATTCCATAAGACTTGACAAATCTCCTGTAGTAACCAGTGAGACCCAAAAACCCTCTAAGATCCTTAACAGATCTGGGAACAGGCCAATTGATCATGGCCTCAATCTTAGCAGGGTCAGTAGCTACCCCTTGGCCTGAAATAATATGCCCCAAATACTCCACTTGACTTTGACCAAAAGCACATTTAGACAGCTTAGCATTCAGTTGCTCTTTCTATAGCACCTCTAATACCTGCCTAAGATGCATAACATGACTCTCCACTGAAGGACTGTACACCAATATATCATCAAAGAATACCAGCACAAATTTCCTAAGGAAAGGCCTGAGTGCATGATTCATTAAACTTTGAAAGGTAGCAGGTGCATAAGTTAACCCAAATGGCATAACCTTGAACTCATAATGTCCCAAGTGAGTCCTAAATGCAGTCTTGTATATGTCAGATTCCTTCATTCTAATCTGGTGATAACCAACACTCAAATCAATCTTTGAATAAATGCATGAACCATTTAATTCATCCATGAGATCCTCTACTAGAGGTATAGGAAATTTGTCTTTCACAGTCATTTTGTTTAATTCTCTGTAATCTATACAAACCTCCAACTACCATCCTTTTTTTTAACCAATAACACTGGTGAGGAGAAAGGAGAGTGACTAGGCTGAATGGTGCCACTATTAAGCATGTCAGTCACTTGTTTTTCTATCTCATTCTTTTGAAAATGGTTATACCTGTAGGGCCTAATGCTGACTGGAGCTGCATCTGATTTGAGAGGGATGAAGTGATCATGACTCCTCTGTCGTGGCAGAGACTTTGGCGCAGCAAAAACTCCTGGAAATTCAGTCAACAGCCTTCTAATTTGTTCAGGTATGCCTCTTCCTTCTGTAGTAGACTGAGCAGTAATTGTGAAGAGATGAGCCCATAACAGTTGGCCCTTCTTGAGTAGCTGCTTCACCCCTGCAGCTGACATACTTTGTAAGCTGCCCTCTTCAGAAAAACCTTTCAGTTCTACTCTCTTTCCCTTCACACTGGCCTGTAGTCTATATCCAATAAAATCAAACAATATAGGATTGTGCTCTCATCCAATCCACTCCTAAAACCATATCACATCCCCCAATGTCTAACATTCTTAGTTTGTACTCAAATTCAATGCCTTGCATTTTCCATTTGAACTGAGGGCAAGAGTGATAACTCATCAAGTTACTCCCATTGGCAGCTGTAACTCTCATTGGAGCATCTACTTGAATCACACACCCCAATTGCTTTGCAGTTTCACTTGCTACAAAACTATGGGTGCTACCACTATCTGCTAGTATCACCATGACTTGCTTACCATACACTCCCTTCAATTTGATAGTGGTAGAGGTGACTGTCCCAGATAAGGCATTGAGACTTATGGCCTCATCTATTATTGTCTCCTGACTTGGCTCCTCTAATATCCCTTCTTCATCAACATTCACTTCTACCCCTTCTTATTCAGTGGATCCAGACAACACATTTAACTGCTTATTCTTACACTGATGACCAGGGAAATACTTCTCCCCACACTTATAACATTCACCTCTTGCTTTTCTTGCCTCAAACAATTTGTTGCCCACATTGTAGGAGTTAGATCCCCCTTCCTTTTGTTGAAACCCAGTTGTCCTCACTCCTGATTGACCATTAGTATTGTTGTACTGTACTGACTGCCTAGTAATGTTTACTTTTCCCTTCTTAGCTACTGCTTCTAACAACTTTTCTTTGTGCCTAGCTTTCTCCACTGCTTGGCTCAAGGAAAAAGGATCAAGCATCTTGACTGTGTGCCTGATTTCATCCTTAAGTCCCTCAATAAAGAATCCAAGGAAGAAATCTTCAGGGATAGTGGGATGTTTAATCAAGACCTCTTCAAATCTTGCCAGGTAATCATTCACTGACCCTTGCTGCTCTATTCTTTTGAACTCTCCCAAGAGATTAAGATTGCTATTATCAGACTCCTCAAATCTCTTACTGATTTCTTCTACAAATTCAGGCCACCTCACACTACCTCTGCTCAGATGATAAGAGAAGTACCAGGATTTAGCTCTCCCGTTGAGATGAAGGACAGCAGCTTCCAACTTATCCTGAGGATCAGTTATCTGATTAAAGTGAAAGTATCTTTCACACTTGTGGAGCCAAGATCTGGAATCACCTTCTTCGAAATAAGGAATTTCAAACCTATGGCCATGGTTATTTCCTTGCCTTCTACCAATAGAGTACTCATTCTGCCGCAAATCTAGGTCGACTACTGAACCCTCAATATGATTGACTTCGACTGGAGCACTCCCCAAGATGCCATCCTTGCTTGTGAAGAGCTTGTCCATCATTACATCCAGCTTTCTTCCCACATCATCGATCTTAGAATCATGCGATTCCAATTATTTATTTGTCTCTGCCATGTAACTTTGTAACTGATTATCTAATTTCTTCACGTAATCTTCATTAGACTTCGAACAAGTTTCTGGAACTGTCATTGTAGCCAAGAAAAGCTCTGATACCAATTTGTAATGTACTTAATTGAGAAATGAAATTCGAAAGGAACTAAGCTTTATTGATCAACAATTCAACGATTACAATTTGTATTTCAACTGACATGAATGAACTCAGAAGAACTGGAATTGGAGTTTTAGAGGGAAGAAGAAGAAGATAGGAGAAGAGATAGAGAGAGAAAGTAGTTAGGATTCTGTTATTTGCCAAAGATGCCAACTACTCTACTAAGGTGTTATTTAACTAACTGACTCAGCTACTAATTTGACTAATTAAATAAAGACCCCAAGGCCTAATACTCTTCTTCTGAAAGCCCAATACGTGAGGCCCAGTAAGACAACCCAATCCTCCCACTTTAGCTATACCATATTTCCTTGTTTGTATCGTCTGCCACTTACCTTTTCTTGTCTGAACATTACAGAAACTCAAGGAAGCCCTTTACCAAAAAAAAAAAAAAAACACTAGCTACCTTTCCACAAACCCACCCCTACTATTGTAGCAACTTTACACCCAGCAGTAACATATTACATTTCCTGATGCAAACCATATATATGCATAATACTTGGCAAAGGAAATAAGCTTCAACCGCAGCTCCACTGCTACTGTTTTCCCCACTATCCTGAACTTAATTAAAGTAAAAACGAAAAGTGACATAAGAAAATAATTTACAACACATACGGGAAAAATAACTTTAGTCCTTTACGGGCCTAAGTAATTTTCCACTCTCCTACTCCTAACTACTCCTACAAACATATGCCCACTCCTATTCATCACCGAAAACCACACCCCTTCCTCAAACCCAACCTCCAGGACTATTACATTCTATGTACTCAATTACTCGGTTTTTGTGCTTGGATGATGTAAAATGTGTTCAAGTTTTTTTTCTTCCATTGGTATATTGTTTTAGTTCAAACACTAGTTTTGGTTTTTACATCTGGTTACAACAAGTGACATGAAGTGAACCATTGAGATAATTTATCCCAGCTGGTGCAAAACATGCACCAGCTGTTGTTGTTGGTGGTGGTGCAAAACATGCTGGCAATTTATGTTAATTAAGCACATAAATAACTCAAAATACCATAAATTAAGAACCTCAAAATCACAAGGCATGGATGAGAGTACTCACCCGATCGACATCCATCTGCTTTGTATTCTTTGACGGCTTCACAGCTCTTTTCCCTGCAATTGAGAATAGTTGTAAGCCCCAAATTAATAGACGCTATAACACAATCAATGGGACAACGCACAAAAGAAACAGATATATACCTTTGCGAATTTGAGGGGCTTTTCCATGACGACTAGGTACTGATTTCTTCTTCTGTTGCCCTTTGAATAGACCTGCCTTTTGTGTCATTTTTCAACCCTCTTTCTCAATTAGTTTGAACGGATGCTAGGGTTTAGTGGGATGCTAGGGTTTATATTTACCCGATTCGTCGAATTGCGGTTCGGGTCCTTCTATGTGGACTAAACGTGCACCGGTCTCGTTCTTGTTTTAATTTCTCTTTCTTTTTTTTTCGTTTTTCTACTACTGATAATAATTGTTTTTCCTTCTTTTGCCTTGAAATTACTGTTCCCGTCCTATAAAGGATGGCACAATAAGGGTCCTAACTATTTAACTTTTTGCGTTCATTTGAATATCAGTTTCTTAAATTTGTTGAAGAATAAAATTTACGTATTCAAATACTTCACGAAAGGATAAAAATATAATGCTTAAAAAACTGAGGCCTAAGTTTTCATCCAAATTAAATTATCGCTTAACTATACTCTTCCTTAGAAATTGACAATAATATTATCCAAACTTATCGTACTAATGGTTATTAGTTATTATCGTATGCTGTAATGAAGGTTGTGCAGTCTGTAAACTTTCGCTACAAAAACAGGAGGTATTTGCGGCGGTTACTTCTTCATATAATGGCGGTTTCGAACTACCGCAATGTGCATTTCTATGTATTAATGGCAGTTCGTGAAATTGCCTAAATCACGTTCGCCACAAAGATTATACGGTGCTTTTTTGGCAACCGCCATAATTCACAAGTTTGTATAACGGCGGTTTTGGATGGCTGTTGAAACCGCCACAATATACAAATTGTCCAGTCAATTGAAATGGCTTGTTTCGCATGTATAAAGCGTCAAAATTATTTATATCTTCACTTATTTATTATTGTAAATTTTGCCTTTCAATGTCACACATGCATGTTTATCACTTCTTTATGATAATATTGACACGGATATAAAGGAAAATTAAGTAAATATTCATTATATTAAAAAGAACATTAAGTAGTGTAAAATTACAAATACCAAATGTGTTAAAATCTCAAAAAACTACTACTTAACAAGATTAAAAGAAAACTTAAGTCAATCCTAACAATAATGACTAATGGCCGCACACATGATACGCATTGTTACTCCCGTTTGAACATCTTCAAGTGCCGTCCACTTCTTGAATCAAGTACCTGCAAGAAATACGTCGCTAAATAAGTACCATTTCCTGGGGCAACTTACACTTTTATCTTTTTGTTCTTTTCTGCAGTAAGACTGGAATGAGAATGTCATCACTATCGCAGTTAACATGAACAAAAATAAGGTGGTCAAGTAGAGAAATCTAACAAAACCTTTCCTTTGCATCTTGTTATGCAGCGCAACTTCAGCTTTGCTATATGTTTTGAATGCCTTCAGTTCAAAAAGAACATATCCCAAACGAAAGAAAAAGAAAAGGATACAGCAGAATGAGAGAAAAATTGAAAATTGAAAGACATGAAGATATTATACAAGTGTTGGTGCACAAATAATATGCATGTAAAGAAGATTATTAGATCAGCAAGGGATGAATCTTTGTGCAGTTGCCTAGCAAATACTAGGATAGCGCGAAACAACAATGAATAATTCTTTCAAACACCGCCACCCAATTTTGTTGTTCTCCGTCCTTTCACCATTTCCTTAAACACATTCCCTCCTTACTTCACAAACTCACAAACACCGCAATCTACTCATGACTTTTCTTCTCGTCCATTTCCAATTTACCATCCCGAGTTTCGTCATTCTCACATTCCGTCAATGTAATCTTTATTCTAGTCAATACTACTACTAACTATACTAACATGTTAAAATTTTGCCAAAAGCAGAAGATCTATTGCCTGAGCTTGAAAGAAAACGAAAAAGTTCTATCGAAAAAGAACAAGTGAAAAATTTGATTACCACAGAGATTTTGAGTTACTGCAATCTATATATATATAAAAGTGGGCAATAGAAAAGTGAGGTGGCACCTCTCTTAAGCCAAGAAACATATTTATCTTTTTTCTCCTTTTTTTGGGGTTTTCATCATTTTTTCCATTTAGTTTATATTAAAAATTCTATCTTCATAACTCAAACCTCTTTATCTTCATAACCTATATTTTTAATAATTTGAATAACTCTCATGCCTTTCATATTCATAACCTCTAAATATTTAATGTGTAAGTTTATGACAATTTATTATATATTCCTCCATATCTATATATTTGAGGGGATAAAGAAGATGACTTGACATATCTCATAAGCCAAGATACCTATTTATCTTTTCTCTCATTTTTTTGCCATTTTCCCCTCATTCTCTATATATAACATAATTCATTTAGTTTATGTTTAATAATTCCAAAAGTCACAACCTAAAAGGTTTTCGTTACCAAAAGCCACACACATACTAAACCATTTCCACAGGCCACAACCTAAATGTTCCCGTTACCAAAAGTCACAAAGTAAACCGTTCCTATTATTTTGATTTGAAGTCATCAATTTTGTCATGTGCATATATTGTTGAAAACAAAAACTCTATACTCTGAGGGTAGGGTAAAAAGAAAAGGGTTGAGCAAGTGGAGTGGAAGATATAATGATAAAGTATGTTTTCTTTTATTGGGCATGTCATGTTCGTTATTCTCCTAATTATTTTCTTGCCCTTTAGATCAAAGTATGTTTTCTTTTACTGGGCATGTTATGATTGATTTTCTCCTAATTATTTTCTTCCCCTTTAAATCTTTTGTTGATATTATCAGTTTATCACAACTAACTTCTTTCTCCCTTTAATTTGGTAGCCTGATCTAACAACGAATTGACATGTTTACTTATTTATCTACCAGTTTAATTTTGTCATTTTATTGTTCGTTTATGTTTTGCATATTTTATTATTTTGCCATCTAATTGATGTAGTAATTTCTCTCTGGTTTCATGGATGAATAGTTTGGATTCTTTATTTTTGCTATATACTTTTACCGCTCCTACATCTATGATCATCTGTACCATTAAGCAATTTGTGTTGAAAAAGTAAGCGAAACTATTTCAAGAAAAACATTTGGTGATTTTGGATGGGAGATGGGATTGACGTGAAGAAGGGAGGCAAACTTTTCAGAAGTGGAAACTGTAATGGCGCCGGTGGCTTAGAGACAAAGGAAGAAAGAAAAAAGGGGAAAAAAGAGAGAAGTAAATAAAAATAAATTAATATGACACTATGACCACATTTTTCCTTTTTCTCCTTTTTAAAATCTTTTCCCATAATAGAAAATAAAGAAAATTATACTTACTAGCTACAAAGTAAGAACACTTACATATCTTCTTGCGCTAAAACTAAATAAATAAAAATAGAAGCTACTCTATGTGTTTTATTTGTCGTAACTTAAGATGTCTAAATAGTACAAGAATTAAAAGGAAAAACGTATTTTTCTATGTTTATTTCTGTTGTAATAAAATAAGAATAAGAATGCCCAATCCAAAATAGCGTAAAATCTACACTAAAACAAATTGGACTTCCTAGATTTAAAAATTGGAAGTTCGAAAAGGGACAGAAAAAATATAGATCTGCAGCCCTACATCAGTAGTCTGTGAAATGAAACAACAAATAAATTTTGACCATCTTCTGTTTGACTTTTGTTAGTAGATCGATTTCATGGTGGCTTTGTGAAAGCATCTTCATGAAAAAGGAAATATTATTGTTCGCGGAATACAGATTCGAAGAAATTTAATTCCTTATTATTAATTACTACCATAATTGACTTTAGTTGGTATGCGATTACCCAAGAACTAGGTACGAATCAATATGGGAAAAGATATTAGTGTAATCTGCTACAAGGACCAAATTAACACTTTCCAACTCAATTTCTAAAAATTGATATTGCGACAATTTATGACAATGATTATCTTTGCTCTCTCATATTTTCTATACTATGTCTAATTACCTTCATGCATGCGAAGAGTCTAATTTCTAAATATTACTGTTGAGCTTTTTATTATTTTGTTTTTGTGCAAGAATTAATATTATTTATTTATTTGTTACTCCTATCTTTCTTTCCTCATGACGCAAAAGAAAAGAAATCAAGTTACGTTAGAAGCATTGCTTGCCAACTGATTCATAAATCATAACCAATTCAAAACCTTGCTCCTTTAATTGCTGGTATATGTACGGCAGTCTTTTGAGTCGTGTTATTTGTATTGGGTGATACCCTTTTTGCTTGAGCCCGACCGGGTTGGGTCCGGTCCGGGGCAAGTCGGGGCCATCGAACCCGACCTGGATGCAAGGTAGAACGACGGCCACGTCAACAACCGAGGTCGAGTCATTTCGAGACCGTTGCAGAGCTCGATATGAGTCACCACCGGATGGAGAAACACACAAGGTCGGAAGCCGGACTCGTAACGGATAACCAAGCGTCGCCGGATATCTCGCCCAAACGTGATTTTCTCAACCACTTCAGGCCATTAAGGCGTAATTACAGGGATCCACGATGTGATTAATTTACCTACCTTATTTTTACCCTTAATCAGAATGTATAAAAGGGGAGAAGACCCCATAAAGAGGGGATCGGAAACCATTACACTACAGTACCATCTCTCTCAATTCTTGTACGCTATCAAGCACAATTGTTCTAAGCAATATTATATTCTGCGATTATTTACTTTAACAGCAATTGTTGAGTCTTTATCTTTTATTTTCCTCAACCTAAACCTTTTGTATCTTTTAGTTCACGGATCCTTAAAACCCCATATAAATTCAATTGTTATCCGGATTCCAGGGTAAACAGTTTGGCGCCCACCGTGGGGCTAAGGATATTAGTGAGCTCTTTGATACTCTTTCTTGACGCATCACAGTACACTGGTTCTTTGCAAAAGAGTCCATCTTACATTCAAATTACCAACTCATAGAATGGCACAATCAATCAACAACGAACTTGAACAGCAGACAGGAAACAATGGAATGCCCGGGCTCGAAAACCCGATAGATGCCGGTTCCCGGATGGCGCTCAACACTGATCAGGCCTCCGGATCATCACATAGCGTCCGGGGAGAGGACGATTCGAGGGCCCAGGCAGTCGGCGAAGAGACTATCAACCTTAAAATGATTTTTGACATGCTGCAAGCCCAGCAATCGGCTATAGCTCAGCTCCAGAGCCGGGTCCAGGAGCCTGTCAGGTCCGAGGAGGCTCCCCGTGCAGCTGCAATCATCAATCCGACCCCAGTACAGC